CCATTATTATTTCTCTCAAATTTTTGTCCCGCATCACTACTCAAAAGGAATAATTAGGATGTTTGGCTGGAGAAGAAAAGATGCCAAACTCAAGCTTGTTCTATCCAAACATATATGACATGCGACCTGAAACCCTATAGGCTATAGCTAAGCAACTAGGAGTAGTAATTTGTTTTTTTCTCATGAATAAGGTTGCTGGAAAAGTGAGATTCCGCCATTGAGACAGTGACCTCGCGCGCGACACAGGGCTCTAGACATAGCAATGCGCCGAAATCTTAGACCACTTATAGTACTCATGTTAATTTGTTTTGCCCCTAAAATCAATACAACATATCATGCAATAATTAACTAATATTATTGCGGGCCTTTCCTTTCTATGACTCTATTTCTTTAGATTATAATTAAAGGAGAATATACCGAAGGGGAAGGACACAAATTAAGGAGGACCACAATGGCTGCTTGTTTAGATCAGAATCATGAGGTGGTAGAATTAAAGAGTTGATGAGGGCAAGGACACCAATGTGAAAAGGAGCAAGAGGAAAAACCCACACCGTTGGAGAGATGGTGAGGGTGGTTTTGCTAAGGTCAAGTACATATTTGGAGTTAATGACTTGTTAGTACTAATGAAAGAAACTTAATTCTTTTAAATAAGACATTTAGTTTAAGTTTTATGAGTGAAAAGATAAGTGTTATGAGAATTTTTTTTTTATAAAATTTAACGTAACTTGATTCTCAATTAGTAAAATTTAATGTGATTTTTTTGATATCAAAAGATTAATACAAATAAAAAAGAGCATGTATCAGGGAATCTTGCTTTCCTTCTTCTTCTTCTTCTTCTTCTTCTTCTTGTCTAGAGAAAAAAGGTAAATTTTCCTCCTGTTGTGCTCAAATAAAACTTGGAAGTTGGAAGTACTTAAACAAATGAACTTGGTGCTAACACTTAGACGCAGGGATATTAATTTCTATTAATAATTAAGGGACATTATACCTCTCTTGGGTCGATAAAAAGTGTCCCTAATGATGGTATTTTGCTCAAATCATAGATATTTTGTGGCTTGTCTTCACATTTCAAGGCTTTTATGCACCACAAATCATCAGGAAAAGAGAGTAATTTCCAATGTGGGATATGAAGTCTCACGCTGTCACCTCCTCCAACTTCCGTAACAATAACCTTGCAGTCCTTTGACGACTTTATGGCCAAGTTGTGCACAAATTTGCATAGGGTCCGCATCAGCTTCCCAGACGCCGCTCCTTCCTGATGCAATCCGTAGATGAAGAACAACCCGAACGGATGAAAAAAATCCGGTATGTCTGGGAGCTTGAAGCAGCTTGGAAGCAACTTATCCATCAATATACAACTTTTGGTGTACATGAAGCAAGAAGTTGGTGCTTTTCCTAACCTTAATTTGAAAAGCTCCCCACTGTTCCATGCACTTAGCATTGCCCAACTACTCGGGAATTGTCCATTTGTTGAACCCAAATTATCCCACGATTCCCCTCTAGGGTAAGCCACCCATGTCCCCAAATTCAGCTTGTTCCTCAGAATATTATCTATATCTTGCGGGAACAACTCTGTGGACTGCATGAATCTCCTGTACACTGCCGCCGCTTCCTCTTCCCTTAACTTTTCTATCTCAACCGTTGATGAGAGATGGTACATTCGTTTGCTAACTGGGTTTACAAGGATGGATGGAGTTCGAAACTTGATGTAGCCAACCTTCGTAAAGAGGTTAACAGAGGCCTGATTATCTTTCTCAGTGGCCATGTAGGTGTAATCAACGTCATTTTCATTAAACCATTCTTCTAGCTTCAGCACTAGCTTCAAGCCAATCCCTCGTCTCCGGTGAACCGGTGCAACCCTTAAACCCAAGACATATCCCATCTTGGCTAGGTCCCTGGGAGGTTTATGCAGCGTTACCAGCTTTATCGTGCCCTGAATGACACCAACCAGCTCGTTATCCAATACCGCAACCTAAGAGGAAAATGGATAAGTAATTAAAGACAGTAGAAAAACTCCATATTCAAGTATATATTCATCCGATGTTGTTTGCAGGATATATAATTAATATATGACTTACCAGCATGATATACATGGGACTGTTCCGGATTCTGCAAATGGGGTCACCCAAAGTATCCGTGAAGAGAAACACTCGCTGGGCTGGACCTACCTCACATCTTCTCTCCAGATCTTCCACTTGCAATCTATCAACTTCGGCGTCGTAGCTTCGAATCAAAAGTTCTCCAAATCCCATATTCAAGCACTAAGAGAGAGAATTTTAGATTAAGAGGAGAGCAAATGATGAGGGATCAAAACAGAAAATCTTTTTGGTTTGAAATTGTGGTGGGGATGATCATACGGTTATATATGCAGAAACTATTGGAGAGGGGGAATAGTATAAGTTCTTTTTAATCAACATCAACCCCACCTTTAATTTGCTGTACAATGATTAATATAAACTGTAGAGCTAGGTGAAGTATTGATTAATCATTTATTAATAGATGTGTATGTGTGGTTAACTTAAGCCAATCAACATTAGGATCACGCTGCCAGGCACGCTCAATTGTTCCACGTTGTTGGCCTCTTGGCCAACCTCATTTGATCAATAATACACATACCGTACAGTCGGCAAAGCCCATAATAACTTAGTCAAATCTTTTCTTTTTTAAAGTTTTTAGTGTGTTTTTAGATCAATTTACATGTATCTTAAAATTAATCCTTTCCTACTTAATCAAATACAAATTATTCATGTTACAATTAAGAAATTAATGTGAAATTTTTTTTATTTATCTTTTTAAAAAATTCAATCTTAATCAATAAAATGAAAAATAAATTTTCTTATCAACTAAATTACAATTCATTGAGTAGTGGAATTAAATCTTAGATTTATTAAGCATGTAATTAGTCGATGGATGGTAGTCCAAGTCCAGGCCACCGAATTAAGATGCAAAGAATTTCAATTAACTCGTGTTTGGCCGTACACGTGTGCACCGATCTAAACTATTAAATTTAAGAAAGGGAATTGATTAAATTTTTAATGAAAATACTTTAATTATAATATTCTATGATATTATAAATTTACAATATAATATATCGTTATATAATTAGTTATTTTTATTTAGAAATTTATATATGATATTATATGTATTTTTTTCATTTAATGGTACATTATATTTATTTAATATCATATAATATTGTAAATTTATAATTTTATGTTTTATTATAATTATAATATTACTAAATTTCTAATGACATAACACAAAATTAAAATTTTTTACAAGGGACAATTTGAATTTTTTTAATGTGGGTGCTATTAATAAATTTGTTGGAGTGGTCCATGCCTCCTTTTAGAGCTCTTAGATTCGATGCAGTGAAAGTGAAACCACACTAATAACTTGTTTGGTTTTAAAAAAAAATGGAAGAAAAAGAGAAAAAATTTATTTATTAGAAATTTTGGATAAAAAAATATTTAAGGTGATAAAAAAGGAGAAGATTTTTCCTTATTTTACTTTAATTTATTTTGTATTTTCGTTTAAACAAACAAAGGAATTCCCTCACCTTCCTTGCCATCTGTTTCAGTCAAATCAATCAGAGGGCAAAGCTTATTACCTATATGTTTCTCTTTCTCTACTAATCAAGAAAAAATGAAATGAGAAAATAATCATAATGCAAGGACAATATGTGCCATAGGATTAGTGATTTCTTACAGAGGATGTCCTCATCTAATGCATTTTAGATTTAGAGTACCGTAAAAGAGAGTTCAAGAATATATGTTGAACCCACTTTATGAATCCATGAAAAGGAGAAGGAAAAGGAATAAAAGGAAAATGAAATGAAGAGAAAAGACTTTTCTATGCGATGATCGATCTGTAAAGTAGGTCAGCAAACTTTAAAAAAAGTGGAGAAAATGGACATGCAATTGTATTGTATGTTATCATCACAAACTCGCAATGCTTTATAACATAGGCCAAGTGTAAGAGAGCATTAATTCTTTTTCTAGTTTAAGACACAATTACTTTATTCTTTTCAATAGAAGAGTGAGATTTTTTCTTTTAGGAACTGTCTGTTGGTTATCCTTGTTCCCCTGGAATAAGTGGATGAAAAGGAATTTATCAAAGAGGGGTAAACACAAGGAGAGAGTGATAAGCATCTAATCTTCTCTAGTCTATAATAAATAGATATGCAAATGAGGATAGACCTTTTTAGAGAAGAGCAATCTGGAGTCGGTGTTTAGTGAGAGGACCCAAAATAATGTATGTTTAAAAGACTGTGCTAGCCCAAAATTGGGCTATAGTTGATGGCCTTTCAGGTGTGTCTTCACCAATGGGCTTAAATTAGAGTCAGAGAGGTGATGCACAGGAGAAAACCATGTTGCTACTTGCTTCTCTTACCCATGTAGGACCGGTTGGTGTTTCTCATGGAGGATACTCAAGACAATGGTTTGCAACTCTTGGGAAAGTATAGAAAAGAAAAATCCGTAGAATGCGATTAATATCATTAGCTTATAGAAAGGTTAGGAGCAAGATCATCAGTTTAAAACTCTATCGAGGAAATATATCTAAAAGAGTTTTGTAGAAAAATGCTGGGTCAAAAGGCAACAGAGAATCAAATCATCAGATTCCATGTAATCCCTAGCCTATTTTGAATAAGTTAGTGCCTACTTTTTGGATCATAATTGACATCAAAATGTGGTAAAACATACTAGAAAGAGAGGGAAGCAGTCATAAGTTAGGGAGATGAGGGTTTACTTGTTTGCCGCACCTTGATGTTAATGTATGTTTCCAAAAACTTCCAATATATAGAAGCCTCGAAGAAAGAAAAGGGCTGATGTCCATTTTTCATATACCATATCACCGAAAGGGGAGGGAAAAATATATCAATCCCACATCAAGCCCCACTCTGTGCAGAGAAATGGGCGGTGCTGAGATCCTTCATAGCCTCATACTCTTCCATACTTATCTGGGCACCATCCAGCACCTATATTTAGCATACAAAGCAGACAGTTTAGTCAATACACCAAAATGTCAAAATTTATTTTCCTATAAAAAAACCATTTTTATTATAAAGTTGCAAACTTGCAATACTGTGATCCCGCAATTAACTTACCCTGTCAAGAAGCATTGTCCTTGCTATCAAGTGTGGAGTAAGTGCAGGGATTCTACATATGGAGAGACCATCAATATACAGAAGAACAAATATTACCAGCCAATCTTTTGTCCTGAATCCTGGAAGCGCATCAATGAAAGACCTTGTATCCAGCAAGCGTGCCTCTACAGGAAGATGTTGGAATTACACAAAGTCACAAACTCGAAAAAAAAAAAGAAAAAAGAAAAAAGAAGAAGACGCCATCTTGGCTACTTGGAATTACAAAAGTAATAAATACTACTTGAAAATAAATAAAATTAATAAGTACACTGTGCTTCAAAGTAGAAACTACAAAAGGTGCAGAGTCAGTACCATTCCTTGCTACAATGTGGACACAGGTATTGGCAGGCTGAGTTCAGCTACAAGTCGAGGTAAAGTCCTGGAAACGCAAACAGCAAGTGTTTCCTTGATTTCAGAAGAGCGACCATCTTTTAAGACAATCTTCCCAAATCCCAATATATACTCTTCATGGAAATTTGCCTTTTCTCCCATATATATAGGCCAAAGATGATGACGTTATCCATTCAAAAAGTACATTCCACATTGCAGCTAAAGTTGGTAACTAAAGAACATCAAAAGTAGCAGAAACAATCAACAGACATCAAAATGAGAAGATATATATGGTATTGATGTTCAGTTTATGAGACTTAGAGTCAAACAAAACCCCTCTGGTGGAGTGTCAATCCATGATTCCTCAGGGTCAAGCATATCAGAATCTGAAATCCCAGGCCTTTTTGGCCATCTCAAAGGGGCAGTTTCTGGTTCTGGTTGATCAGCACATTGAGCACCCTCGACAGGCTCCTCTTCGTTAGCATCACTTGGACGTAGCAATATAATAATTCCAGTGTCAGATGCTGTACATGGTGTGAATGACAATATAGAGAAGATAGAAATTGAGAAAAGTTTCAGCAACATAGCTAAACGATAAATAATTAAATGAGTAATGCAACAACATCCTACCAGCATCAATGGCATTAAAATTTCCAGATGCCACAGCCTCTGCAGCCTGGCTCAATGCCATTGCACAAGCTTCTGCCAACTCAACATATCATCATTGCCGTTACCTACCACCCTGTGACATAATCCAGGACAATCCTTGGTTGTTTCCATCTCTTTAAACTCACAAAGATTACTTCATGCCCCCAGCACTATCATCAGCCCAAGTTACGCAACAGTTATGCTTTTTTGCTCCAGAAGATCCAAGAGGAGGTTTAAGCATAGTCTTAGTAAATATGTCTGCTTTCTCAACAGCATGTGGTTCTTTCACAGCTTCAGCCGTTAACATAGAAGACCCATTAACATTATTGTTGAGAATGGGCCCAACATTAAGACTAGGCCATGTAGGCCAGTCATTCATCCATGAGCCCAAAATGAAGATGTATCTATACACTAGCTTAGACACACCCATGCGAGTGCTTACACGTGTACCAATAAGATGCTTACAGAAGCTCATGTTATCGTTACAGACTATAAATACCCCACCTACCTACACTCAAGATAATAAATCTACTATGCTTCTTTGTTTGCAATTACTTTTGGAGCTTCTCCCTCTAGAATATTAAGTGTTACTAATTTAAACATTGAAGTGTCAAACCCTCGAAAACATTCTCATGGTTTTTCAAGTATTGAAACAGTAGAAGACTTCTACAATGTAGGTTCGTAAAACTGCCCAAATAATTATGGTAGGCATTTGAAGTTGAAGGCGCCTCTGAAACCTCATCAGGCTCATGTTTTGAGATAACTTTAACCTTCCCTTTAGATTCTTTTGATTTCTTACCAGAATCTTGTTTCATGGAATTGGAAGTAAATGACGAGCATGATATTGCACACTTCGCCAGCCTTCCATATTCTCCTAAATCTTGAGATTTGACAAGCCTAAATCTCCATTCCAATCCTCCCCAAACAACCTCAAAATCTCATTAAGCTTAGAAGGATTCAAGGCTGAACATCTCTTTTCCTGCAAACTCCCAGAAAAACTTGTAATATTCACAACACACCCAGTGGAGCAAAACATGTATGAATACACTAGAATTTTCCTTTTCTTGAAGAAAGGATGATCTCAACTCATTAAAAAAATTCATTAATTCATTTAATCAAAAACAAGAATAGCCTAGAATTTTGAATTTTTGAGTAAATAAAAGCCTGAATCAGAGACGCCACACTGAAACTGGAAGTAGTGAATTCCAAAAAATTGATTATTGGGAAAGGAGACAGTCAAACACAAAATTTATGGGCCGGCAGAGATGGTCAATTAATAAAGGACTCTTCTTGAACTGAGTCTTTTATTATGGTCCATGGAAAAATAAATACTCATAATCTATTGATTGGTAGTCTTTTTTTATGGACCCAACTGGCTAAATGCGGCCCATATCCATAATTGTTTGTCCTTTTTAATGGTACATGTACATCACTGTTTATTTCTGCAACATTAAAAGAAAGATATATTTTTTTTTGGTTAACATTAAAAGAAAAATATTTGTTTAATTCTTTGCCAGTTCTTTTTCTTCTGAGACACAAAACACCATACACATTTATGTATTTTCAAAGGAGAAAAAAAAATATCAAAACCCCATTCACCCATGAGTGGTTGGAGGGGGCATTTGCTCTCTTGATATTAACCTAAGAGAAAATGTATAAATAAAAATGTTAATTTTATATTTTTTTATTTAAAAATATTAATTTTATTAATTTTTAAATAAAAATATCAACTTTTAATTTATTCTATTTAAAGATACCGATTTTTAATATTTTGATTAAAAAATCTGTTTATTATATTAATATCTTCATTTAATTAATTTTTAAATTAAAAATTAAAAGTTAATACTTTTAAATAAAGAATGTAAAGTTGATGGGCGAGAATGAGTTGGGTTATCACAAATTATAGGTTAGACGGATTTGTAATTAAAGAAGACAACCTATAATTTACTCATTTTAAGATTTTTATAGATTATAACTCTATTCATATAAATTGTGAGTTAAATAAATCTAATCAAATGAATTCATAAATGAAGAATTTTTACTATTTACCAATCTTAAAAGAATGGATTGAGCCCACTTTTGTTATGTCAACTTGGCTTAATTTTTGCCCGACCTGAGTCTTGTATAAATTTAAGACCTCTATCTAACAAATTGGATCGTTTACTTCACACTAAATCAACATTTCATTGGTTAATTTAGCATTGGTTAAATGCCAAATTTAGTCTCTTAACTTTTAATTTTGAAGAAATTTTGTCCCTTAACTTTTTT